AAGTGGGGGGGGGGGAGATCAGTGAACTAACATCAATAAAAATTACTAATTAACTTGTGAGCCACTGAGGTATACTAACAAATGTGTATTAGATCGCTGGTTAATTTGCCCACTCTCATAAAATGTGCGTTTAACAACAATCAAATAATTAATTAATTACCGCGCTCTAATACTAACAAAAAGTGCAAAGTGAAAATAAATATATAATAAATGATATCTTTTATATAAATAAATAATAAAATTAAAAATAAATTAATATAGTGATGTCCACACACCTTCAATACTCGCCGTATAGTGAATGGAATGCGCGGTGACGTCACTGCCCCTCCCCAACACGTTGCGCTACAGGGATTTCGTAGCTTCGTCCGGGGGATGATGTGTCACACACCCTCCGCATTGTTTTAAACTGCAAGCCAGGGATATTGGCATATTCAAAGCGCAAATTAATTGTATTACATGTGAGTGCATTATGGAAGCACATTAAAGCTGTTTTTTACCTCTGGGATAAGGCACCATATTTTTTATTTCTCTTTTGCATGAGATATACGAGGAATATAAAGACAGAGGACTAAGGAGTGGATTAAAGGAGGGAGTTCCCTCACAGCCCTGCAGCTACACAGGCTCACAGCACTATTGCAAAGGTCTTATCTTTATACTGAAGGAGAGTACATCTACCTTGGCTGGATATCCATTTGTACAGTCACTTTGGGGACAGTATCGTTGCATTTCTACATTATATATTATTTATATTAATTATTTATATTTTTTTTTATTAATCACATCATTAATTATATACATTATTTATATTTTTTAGTAATCTCATTATGAATTTCTCTGTGGTTTATATATGGAACATTTGCACATTTGCATGAGGATTGCACATTCAGTGATTTGTTATTAGGTCATCACTATATTAATTTATTTTTAATTTTATTATTTATTTATATCAGACATCATATATTATATATTTATTTTCACTTTGCACTTTTTGTTAGTATTAGAGCGCGGTAATTATTTGAGTGAACTAACATCACTTGTGTTAGTAGAGTGATCTGGCTTTTTTTAATTTTTTTTTTTTTTTTCTAGCCCGCTGGGTTGAACAAAAAAAAAACCTGTACATGTGTACCAAGCTTTACAAGAGCAGCTAAACACTAAGTGATTCACACCTAAATACCAAATCTTTAACCACTTTACACCGCCTTATAGCAGAAATACTGCTACAGAGCAACAGGGGTGGGCTTTTGCATTTCCAGGTAGGGTGCCCTACCTGCGCCACCATTAATGGCCTCGGCTGCCAATCACCAGATCCCGGCCAGCGATTACTTGCCAACACCTGGTGATCGCCAAGTAATACCGATGGGTGGAGAGAACTGTATGTAAACAATACAGTTCTCTCCTCTGTCAGCTCATGCACACTGCTTTGTATGGCAGAATAGCAGAGCCATACAAAGCAGTGTGCTTACAGTGGAAAGCACACACCCAGCCCCATAGTAAAACACACACAGCACACAGTTAACTGTTTGATTGCCCCAGATTTTAACCCCTTCTGCCCAGTGCCATTATTGGTGTCACTGGGGATGTCAGTGACTTCAAGTCAGTTCCCCCCCAGTATCAGAATGGCTGCCGCAGTTTATGACGAAATTAGATTTTTAAAATTTTTTTATTGGACATGTTTAATAGCAAAAAGTTAAAAATATAGTTTTTTTACACAAAATTGTCTTTTTTGTTTATAGCGCAAAAAATTAACACAGGTGGTCAAATGCCACCGAAAGAAAGCTCTATCTGTGCGGAAAAAAAAAAGAGCGTAAATTTAATTTGGATGTAGCATTGCATGACCGTGCAATTGTCAGTTAAATAATGCAACACTGTAACACAAAAAATGGCCAATTGTGTATGTGTGCATTAAAATTCATTAAAGTGTATTGAAAAAAAAAAAACATGGCTTAAATATTGTGTAACATAACAACACCCACCATTTTATTCTCTAGGGCCGTTGCTTAAAAAAATAAATAAATTAAAAAAAAAAAAATATATATATATACATCAGCGCTTAAAATTTCAAGTCTAGATCTACTAGCCAGGCAAAAACCTTACTCTCCACCAGTTGTCCCACCAAACCTTGCCCAAGTCCGCCCCAACCCCGCCCCCAGCCCTGCCCCCAATCACGCCCCCTTGAAGCTTATGCCCCATAGCTTGAAGCTTATGTAATTAAAGAGTCCCCATGATGGTGTAGGGTGTAGATGTGCACCATTGGCGGGTCTCTTCTTCACGTGTACCCCACGGTGGTGGAGAGCGGGCCTCTCCTGGTGTCTCCCTCAGCGGAGGGGAGCGGACCTCTCCTGCACCTGTCCCCTCAGCGGCGCTGCCAGTGTAATGGCGGTGCCGAAGAAGAAGCCAGAAGTCGGAAACCAGAAGTCAGCTTCAACACGAGACTTGGAGCGCAAGTGGAATGAAAATCGATCCCCAGGGCCTGGGGATCGCATTGCAAGCCACCCGCTCCATCAACAAATGTGCAGGGCATTACTGTTCTAGCCAGAAAGGAATTTTCCCTCGCATTTGGCGAGCTGACAAGTGGAATTTTCAAGCCCTGATATATATAAAATGTTTGAGGGTTCTAAGTAGTTTTCTAGCAGAAAATGCAGATTTTACGTGTTGGAGAGGAATGTCAGAATTTGCCCGGACTGGAACTAGTTAATTGCCTAAAATGTCACAGTAGATGATGTGTCTGTTGTTGTCTTTATCCTGAAATGACAAAAGTGGTGATTAAGTCAAAATCCTTGGTGGAGACCAGTGATTGAAGCCACCAGTGCTTATTACTTTTGTAACACTGAGCCATGTCCATTGAGGGTGTGCATTTTGATATAGGGTTTTGTAATCGTTTCCATTTGGATTCTTCATTTTCACTATATTTTCTATTTACCGGCTATTGTGCAATGCAGAAAGCGCACAAACAACTTTGTGAGTTACACAATAGCTGGAGATACAGTAAATCAGCAAACAGACATGTGAAGTGCTCTAGCAGTATGGAAACCTTTCGTACCACTTCCCTCAATAGCTCTTTCAAGTGTAAGTGTGAAATTGTATCGGAGCATGTCAACTCTTGCCTTGGAGTTCTGAGATCTGTCCACCATGAAGTGTAAGGAGGAACTTATTGGTTGAAGTTAGTGGAACAATTAAGTAATTGTCAGGTTTGAACTGGTATTGCAAGGGAGAATGACAGCACCATTTTCACGTGACTACAGTCATAAAAATCCTGAATTACTTGGTTTACTTTGTCCTTTGATCCTCTTGGAATAATTACAGATTTCATTTAGTGGGGGGAGGGGGGGGGGGTGCTGGATCTTGTACTTAATTGTCCACATTCAGATCATGCATTGTAACAAGTTAAGAACCTGTAGTAGCATGTTTATGTGATTCTAATTTCAATCTGTTTTTTTACCTTAATGCATTCTCTGCATTAAAGTGGTTGTAAACCTTTACATATACCCAGTGAAATGACTGGCCACAGGTGATACAAATCCTCCTACTTCAATTGTACCTGTCCATCTGCACTCTTCTCTTCTCTACATCCGTGCAAAAACCAGAATTTACAAAGCTTGTCTGAGAATTCAGAAAACGGGGCGAAGAGCTGAAGTTACACTCTACAGAGCTTAGTGAGGAGTTCTGAGAGCTGATGGGAGGGAAGGGACCCCCCCTTGTGAGAAGTGATTCATGCTGATAGCAGAGGAACAAAGCAGCAGACAATTGACATTTAGACTCCAAGCACACTTGGCGTTTAATAACGCTGGTAATGTTTGCTGTGTAGAGTCACGTTAATAATGTGAGTTTTTTAGCGTTTTTGCATTACTGTTTAGCCGCTTTTTTTCACATTTTCGTTTCTTAGCTTTTATTTTTGACCAAAAAAATTTTTTTAGTTTTGTCCAAAAAATCCAAAAATGCTGGTTTGCCGCGTTTTTCAGCGTTAAAAAACTCCTCTAGAAACTAGGGTTTTTTTCTGGGGGGGTTTTTTTCCAGCCAAAAAACGCTCCTGCCAAAAAACACTGATTACAGTCTATGTGTGAATGGAAACATAGGATAACATGCTGGGGGGTTTACTGAATGTAGAAAAAAATTCCAAAAGCCAAAAACAGCAGCTGTAAAAATGTCCAGTGTGCATGAGGACTAAGTGCTCTTAATTGAGACAAGTAAATATAGAGGGATATGCTTTGTTCATACTTCATGTCTGAAGTTTACAACCACTTTAGAGGAAAAAGAAAAGCCCCATTAACTGTTCCCCTTCCCCCATACCTAAACACTTACCCGATTACTCTCAGCGATTCAACAGCGTCCCAGTCTCAGCATGCTCTCCTCTTTCTGAACTCACAGGAGATGCTGAGGGCTGCAAAGCCATTGGCTCCTGCTGCTGTCAGTAAAAGTCATGTGAGGTGGGAGAAGGGGATTGTGGTTTAGTGGAGCTGTGTGTGTCTATGGACTTGCTTAGAAGCAATTGGACTGCGCTGGAATTGGAGTTAAGGGACCGCTCTGTGCAATACCATTGCACAGAGCAGGTACATAAACCATCTTTTTTTTATTTTTTTGTTAAGCCCGAGTGACAGATGAGGCCACTCATTACACACTGTTCTTCTGACTGGGAGTTAGTCTGAGCAGCGTTCATCTTTACACAAAAAAAAATGTAGCCTTTAATATCACTTTATGTGTTATGAAATATGTGTGTTGTGGTCCAGCATCTTAGTCAATGAAGTAGATCAAAGGGATTTTTGTTGAGAAAGGAATATGAAAACATCGTCTCTATAAAAGGAAATACATTTTATGCAGGATACGCCTAATAGTATTTCAAAATAGCCTAGCCTTTTAAATGTTTGTTTTCAGATCCCATATACTATATTTTTTGGTTTTTCATTATAATGCATCTCTATTTTATATGTTAATATCTGATCAAGCACGTCAAAATTTTAAGTACAAAAAGTAATTTTCTATTTTTTGCTTTTCATCTTTTTTAGGTGGTATTGGCAGGGATCAAAGTCGCAGCCTTATGTTAATTTTATGACTAAAAATTATCCACCTGGCTTTCGTTATGAAGATTTCGGGCCCCAGTTCACAGCAGAGTTTTATGAGCCACAGCAGTGGGCAAATACATTAAAGGCATCAGGTGCCAAGTATGTTGTTCTTACTTCAAAACACCATGAAGGTAAATCTGAGGATACATTTTGTTTGTTATTCGCATTTATTTACAATGCACCTACATATTTATTTTATTTATAACAGGTATTTGTATAGCGCTGTCAATTTATGCAGCGCTTTACATAAACATATTGTATACTCACATCAGTCCCTGCCCTCAAGAAGCTTACAATAATTAAAGGTCCCTAACCAATTTAGATAGGAGCCAATCAACCTACCAGAATGTCTGTCTATGGCATGTGGATGGAAACGCACATATCTATATGCATACAGTGAAATTATTTATATCAAAAACATATTTATTGTATACAGTTCTAGCTGTCTTAAAACAATTACGGATTCTTGTTTGCTTTCTTAAAGGGGACTGAATTCTGAAAGCTGTGCCCAAAAAAAGGCAGGCATAGGGCAAAGGACATTTCACCAGTAGTTTCTATGGTTTGGCTTGGTTCTGGCTTGTTGTGCACTGTGTTCCTGTGCTCCCTATAGTGAGTAGGAGTGCAAAAGCCACTTGCTGCAGCCTAAAAGAGGGTCAAAATCACCTGGAGAGGAACTCCGACATCTTTTAAATGGAAGTCGATTACTTAAACGTGGGCACAGTCAGGCAGCAATAACAGGGGGTTGAGGAGTGCTCTAGCTGTCTGTCAAAGCCAGGCAACAGCTGCCAGACAGCCGTATACACATTGCCACAAGTGCAAAGCTACAGTATACAGGAAAAAAAAAAGGATGTCATATTTTTGGTAGGCATATCGCCTGCATACTGAATGGGGCTTAAGCATGAAATTCATCTTTAACCAGTACACGCCCGGACGATAGCCAAAAGGCGGCCGGCAAAATGTACTGCATTTCCGGGTTGGACGCCAAATGGCGTCCTCCCGCACATGCGCAGTTTGCACTCCTGCAGAGCCGCACAGCGGCGCGATCTGTCACTGGACGTGTACCTCGGACACGGCCGATGACAGATCTGAGTATCGGCCCCGTTGCCTGTACCATGTGACCTGCTGTGACCAATCACAGCAGGTCACATGACAGTTGTATACAATGGATGGCTTAATCCATGCCATCCATTGTATACTACTGTCTAGCTGTGAATGGTCACAGCGATCACATGCACATGCCATGTGATTAGCTGTGGCCAAATCACAGCTAAGCACAAAAAAAAAAAAACCCTGAATTAATCGATGTCATTCAAGTAAATGCTTGCTTATAGCAAAGTAATTCTTTGCTATAAGCAAATTGTGTTACAAAAAAAAAAAAAATACTGAATCACTTCCCCAAAGTAGTACAATGTTACTATGGTAACCTTGTACTACTTTGGACATAGGGAAATATGAAAAAAAAAATCTTAAAAAAAAAAATAAAATGTAATAAAAAAATTAAAAATAATTAAAAAAAAAAAATAATATATATATATTTTTTTCATACTGTCACCAGTCAGTGTCCCTGATCACCGCCATGCCAGTTATATGAAGACGCTGTACTTCACTGGTGACAGTATGTAAAAAAAAAAAATAGTGAAAATAATTTTTTGCATTTTTTTTTCATTTTCCGAAAAATTATGACAAAAAAATACAACTTCAGAAAACTCGCCATGCCTCTTATGAAGTACGTTGGACTGTCTACTCTGCAAAAAGGGGTCATTTGGGGGATATCTGTACTGTTCTGACATTCTTGGACCTCAAGAAATTAGATTGGCCGTCAGTACTTCAGGATTGATCAATATTCAGATCTATACCATAGTTTGTGAACTCTATAACTTTCCTACAAACTAAAAAATACATCCTAATTTGGGTTATTTTCACCAAAGACGTAGCAGAATACATCTTTGCCTAAATTTATGAAGAACAATTATTTATTTGCAAACTTTTATAACAGAAACAAAGAAAAACGTGTTTTTTTTTTCAAAATGTTCGGTCTTTTTTCCGATAATTTAGCAAAAAATAAAAACCCTGGTGGTGATTAAATACCACCAAAAGAAAGCTCTAGTTGTGTGAAGAAAATGATAACATTTTAGTTTGGGTACAATGTTGTATGACTGTGCAATTGTCATTCAAAGTGTGAGAGCGCTGAAACCTGAAAAATGGCCTGGGCAGGAAGGTGTAAAATTGCCCGGTATTCAAATGGTTAAGTAGGCACTCGGGAGGCAGCATATCAACTCCCAATCACCTACTAACTGTGGACCAGCTGCTGCTTACAGCTACCCAGGCCCATGTGAAAAAGGCAAGGTAAGGTTGCCTCTGCATTTTGATACATTGCAGTGTATTAAACAAAATCCTGCTTGTTGAAGTTTCCAGCAAAATGCACTTTCTATAGGGATGAATGGTAAGGCATGTTGGAATTGCATTAAAAAAACAAACGGCATTCTCACACAGAGTTATGAATGCAGCTATATGTGTCCTTTTATGAAACAGAGATCAGCGGTGATCCTGAGGATCGTTGCTGATCTCCGATCATTTGAGGTTTAGGAAACAGAGATGATCAGGGGAGAACATGTTCTCCACTGATCATTTCAGCACACAGATGGCCAGTGTATGAAGGAGCGATGTCAGCCCTTCCCTGGCGATCTGTGTTTTTTCCTTCCAGATTCTCCTGCCCAGTGGTGGAGAATCGGAGGAACCGCAAATGAAGCAGCGATAATTTACAGCTGCTTGGTAAACATTGTTTGACTGATCTCTTACTGTAATCTCGCGATATTGTAGTAAAATCAGCTGTTTTCCAGCATTTGTAGATCGCTTCTCCCTTCATTTGGAGAACTGATCTACACCGCTTCATAAAAAGGCATTCAGAGGAGAACTTTTCTCCGAGAATGCCGGAGAACTGAGCAGCGGTCATTTACCACTGCATGATAAAAGGACACCATAAAGATTTAGCAACCATATCCATGGGCATACCTAACAGATGTTGACATTCTATACCCTAAGCTCATTGTATGGGGTGAGACAAAGGCAATCCTACATTAATGCATACTCATACATTTGTAAAAATGATCTATTTTACCCTGTTTGGCTTTAGAGACAGTCATTTACATGCTTTTATCTCACTATCTAGGATACACTTTGTGGGGATCTAAATTTTCATGGAACTGGAATTCTGTGGATGTGGGATCAAAGCGGGACCTTGTTGGAGAGCTGGCTGAGGCCATCAGGAATACCACAGACTTGCATTTTGGACTCTATCACTCTCTATTTGAGTGGTTCAACCCTCTCTTCCTTTCTGATAAATCCAATTCTTTTAAAACAAGCACTTTTCCAAATGCAAAGTCCTTGCCTGAACTGTATGAAATTGTGATGAAATACAAGCCAGAAATTCTGTGGTCAGATGGAGATGGTGATGCCCCAGACACATACTGGAACAGTACTGTTTTTTTGGCTTGGCTCTATAATGAAAGGTATGATAACCATTATTTAAAACATGCAGTGAAAAACTGTTGTGAGTTTTAAAGAGCCCATGTTAGAGTGCCAGTGCATGAGCACAACTGGAAAACTACTGTGTTCCAGTTGTGCTCATGCACTGCCACTCCAGGACCTTCATGGCAGTATCATAAAGATAATGAAAGCTGCAGATATAGCTCATATGCGATTTTGGTAATTTGGTTTACATCTGCATTCCTCTTGCTATCACATCTAACTATACCTGTGCATATGGGCTGCTGTTGGCTCTTCATTGCACATTTTCTCATGTCACAGATCTCTCATAATACCTCTATATTAGCTGTGAAATTCTGTACAAATATCCACTTTACTTCCTTTCATGTTCCCTTCCTTTGTCCCACATTTCCCCCATATGCTGAAATCTTTTTTTTTTTTCCAGTTGAGGAAAAAAAGTTCCAGCTAACCAGGAAAGGAGGCATAATGTCATTATATCCAGATTGTGTAAGAACCAATTGTGTGAAAACTCCTGTACGAGTTTTCACATTGCTGTGTAGGAATTGATACCAAGTTGTGCCATGAGTAAGGGTGCAAAAAAAAAATCTTTTCTTTCTAGTTCATTAAGGGACACAGGATTGCGGGGCCTGCTTTGAATGTGATCTGTGAGCATTGGGCTCTGCTTTTAGAGCTTTTCAGATCTTTGTGTACTGTGTTAATTAGTAATATACTAAAGAACCAAAACCCCCTATTGCCTTTCACCCATAATGGGCTTAAAGTGTTACTGAACCCACAACAGTAAAATCAGTCTGTATATGCAGTAAAACATACTCTGCATTGTGTAAAAAGGATGTTTGATCCTTTCTTCTTTGCCCCTCCTCTTGTTGAAATGACCTCCGGATACAGACTGAACCTGTGGACACATGCACATGCTCAGTTTGGTGTGTATTGCTAGAGAGGTTTTTTTGTTTTTTTTTTCTTGGGAGGGTGCATATGATCAGCACAGGGCCAATCAGCACTGTCCAAATAGAGGGTCAGAGGTTTCACATCCTCCTAGATCAGAAAGAAAACACCTTCTACAAGTTTTAACCAGTGCTCTGCTGAAGTCACAAGACTGCTCTAACTGCTGATGAGAAAAGCTATTTAGCAATTTATATTTACTAAAATAATTGCACTTCCATGTTCTGTGTACTGTGGGAGACCAGATATAGTGAATGCAGGGTCCTGGGTTTAGTAACGCTTTAACTGTAGGCCTCTATGATCATGCCCAGATGGGTGATATGTGTTAGCGGGGCATGGCTCAGTGGTGTGGGGATGGAGCTAAAGCCTTCCTGTCATATTTAAAATTGAGTGGCTTTCCGTGTGCACTTCCACTTTTCCTTTGTATGTTCCTGACAGTCGGGCAAGATGAGCCCTGTGGAGCTGTTGAATCACTGGGTATCTGAGTTAGTGGAGCTTGGAGCGGCACTATATTTTCAATTAGGGTACTGTGTTAATTCGCCACAGAGTACTGTCCAGGTCCAGAGCCATGGCACATTCTCTATTGTGACTCAGTCTCTGAAGACACTAAAATGAGTGCACTGAGCACCAGGAACAACTACATTATTGGTACATTGAACACCATCATTAACCCTTTTTTCCTTTAGTTTCCACAAAAAAGGTTAACACTCTGGGTAATTAAATGCTGCATCACTAGTTGGGCTGTCATGGGCACACAATCCTCCCTCTGTTGCCGCTTCAGCATGAGGTAGCTGCTTTCCATGATTAATATTGAAATCGGCTGCACTCTACCCCCTCACCCAATCCGACAGATGAGGAACACCAGTGCTCAAACTATTGCCCCTGTACGCCATCCAGTAACATGTCTGTCAAAAAAGGTTGGCACCACAGGATCTTCCATACATATACTATATCAATTTATTGGCACATCAGGTTAAAATCTAACATAACAGACCTTCTAACGCATTTCAGCCAGAGTGGGAGAAGATAACCCAGAAAGTCTGAGTATTTGCAAGGGCTCCAGCGGATAAAAAGAGAACCTGGTGAGCATAGTGAAGGTCAGTGGTTGGGGGAATTGGCTTTCAAGAATACCTGTCACCTTGCACTGAATGATCAAAGTTACACACTTTTGAAGGAACAACCCCAGGCATCCAAAAAAAAATCACGATCAGTCACTGAATATTGAAGAGTGTTTATACTGCAATACACATTACCATGTTTATTATAGCTGGTTAGTCTTCTGTTGTGACTGACCACAGAGCATTTCTTAACCATATTTCCTTTTTTTTTTTTTTTTCGTTTTTTTTTTTTTTTAATAATTTAGCCCAGTTCGGGACATCATTGTAACTAATGACCGATGGGGATATGACTGCATTTGTAAACATGGTGGTTTTTACACATGTAGTGATCGTTACAATCCTGGGCATCTGCTACCTCACAAATGGGAGAACTGCATGACCATTGACAAACGTTCCTGGGGATACAGGAGGAATGCTTTAATCTCTGAAATGCTGACCATTGAAGAGCTGGTACAGGTGGGTTCTCACAAACCTTCTGCAACTCTGTGGGGTCAGTTTACAAAGTCACAAGTTATATTACAAGTGTTGGTTATTTTGTCTCCTAATTTTCACATCACAAATAGTACACCAAGGTGGAATTATTATTTTCTACACATGAAACAAACATTTAATTATAGAAAGCTGTTACTTTTCATAAGTAGTTATTTATCACCAATTCAAGCAACTCATTTTTCTGCTTGACTCAATAGACGCCTCACAGAAATTTAGCCAGAAGATATTTTGGGTAGGAAACCTAATTGTCTTTTCCTACAAAAAACCCTCACTACTATATCGCACATGCTGTGAAGTTTGATCTGTAAATTAACAAGTAATGTACAGTTATAAAATACTGCGTGCATTAGGAGAACAGAGGCTTGTGTGTTACATAAAAGAACAATAAGACAAAGGGGTTGATTTACTACAGGCAGAAATACAGTGCACTTGCCCCAGAGCTTGGTAAATGAGGTAAAGCCTTACTTTGCAAAGAATACTCAATCACATGCAAGGCAAATTTTAAAAAATGGCATTTTTACTTGCAAGTGATTGGATGATCGAAATCAGTATCGCTTGCCCTCACATCTAGAGCAACTGCACTTGCAGTGTACAGACTATTTGTCTTTAGCATATCAACCCCAAAGTGTATCTATAGCAAAATATAAATTTTTAAGTTTTTGGATGGCACATGGAAGCGTTAGAATCCATGCCCACCTTCACCAGATACATGTTTGTCATGATGACTGCTGCCACCAGGGCAGAAAGTGATGGGAAGATTAAACATTTTTTTTTTTAACATCACCAGACATAGAATGAGGGGAAAACTTGGGATGCCTGTTCTAGTGACAGCTATCTCAAAAGGAAACTTCTCTTGTTTAAGAGATTTCATCTTATTTTCTGTCTCCAAGATAAAGAGGGTTTAAGATACACACTTTTATTTTAAAGGCACTTATAAATACACCGTTCAAAAAAATTTAAAGGAACACTTTTTAATCAGAGTATAGTATCAAGTCAATTAAACTCTTGGGCTATTGATTTGGTCAGTTAGTAGCAGAGGGGTATGTTAATAAGTTTCACCTGCTTTGGTGTTTAAATAAAATTAACAACAGGTGCACTAGATGGGCAACAATGAGACGACCCCCAAAACAGGAATGGTTTTTCAGGTGGACGCCACTGACACTTTTTTCCCTACTCATCTTTTCTGACTGTTTTTCACTAGTTTTGCATTTGGCTAGGGTCAGTGTCACTACTGGTAGCATAAGGCGATACCTGGACCCTACAGAGGTTGCACAGGCAGTCCAACTCCTCCAGGATAGCACATCAATATGTGCCATTGCCAGAAGGTTTGCTGTGTCTCCCAGCACAGTCTCAAGAGCATGGGAGAGATTACAGGAGACAGGCAGTTACTCTAGGAGAGCTGTACAGGGTCGTAGAAGGTCCTTAACCCATCAACAGGACTGTTATCTGCTCATTTTGCAAGGAGGAACAGGATGAGCACTGCCAGAGCCCTACAAAATGACCTCCAGCAGGCCACTGCTGTGAATGTCTCTGACCAAACAATCAGAAACAGACTTTATGAGGGTGGCCTGAGGGCCCAACGTCCTTTAGTGGGCCATGTGCTCATTGGCCTGCACCATAGAGCTTGATTGGCATTTGTAACAGACGTGAAAGGGTCTGGAGAAGCCGTGGTGAACGTTGTGCTGCCTGTAATATCGTTCAGCATGACCATTTTGGTGGTGGCTTAGTGATGGTCTGGGGAAGCTTATCCATGGAGGGACATACAAACCTCTACAGGCTAGACAATGGCACCTTGACTGCCATTAGGTATGGGGATGAAATCCTTGGACCCATTGTCAGACCCTATGTTGCTGCAGTGGGTCCTGGGTTCCTCCTGGTGCACAAATATGCCTGGCCTCATGTTGTGAGTATGCAGACAGTTCCTGGAGGATGAAGGAATTGATACCATTGAATGGCCCCCACTCTTGCCTGACCTAAATCCAATAGGACGCCTCTTGGATATCATGTTTCGGTCCATCCAACGCCACCAGGTTGCACCTCAGACTGTTCAGGAGCTCAGTGATGCCCTGGTCCAGGACACCATCCTTCGTCTCATTAGGAACATGCCCCTACATTGTCAGCCATGCATACAAGCACATGGGGGCCATACAAACTGCTGAGTACCATTTTGAGTTGCTGCAATGAAATTTCAGCGAAATGGACTAGCCTGCAGCATCATTTTTTTACTTTGATTTTTGGGTTGTGTTTGAATTCAGTCCTCTGTAAATTGATGTTTCATTTCCATCAAACGTTAGGACATCCTTACGTTCCTAACACATTACCCAGTCCATATCAGTATAGATATCCAGCATGATATTTTCCCCATTGAGATCTGCTAGGTGTTTTCAAAGTGTTCCTTTAATTTTTTTGAACAGTGTTTTTAATGTTTTCTAATGGCAACAGCAATTGAAGCCTTGAAATTACTTACTGACCCAGAGGAGTTTAGAATTTAATAACGCAATAATAAGGCACACACATTCACTTGAGGGTGAGTATGATAAGGCCAGGTAACCTATCGGGGATTACCCTGGAGCTAGCAAAAAAAAAAAAAATTTTTTGCAAAAACAGGGAGAACAAAAGGGTAGATGGGAACTGAACCCAGCACTCCCTACACTACTAACAGTTTTTGTTCTTTTTCAGCTTTGGAAATGCTGGATTTGATAATATAACTTTTTGTGCTGGCATGTATGTGTCACTATGTAGTAGTATACTGGTGTTTAATAACTGTTTTTCTCACTTTCTAGGAGTTAGTTGAAACTGTATCTTGTGGTGGGAATATGCTGATGAACATTGGTCCTACGCATGATGGTCGAATCCCTGTAGTATTCGAGGAGCGCTTGATGCAGATGGGTAAATGGCTTGAAGTAAATGGAGAAGCTATTTACAGCACAAAGCCTTGGAAAGCACAAAATGATTCAGTGACTCCAGGAGTCTGGTGAGAATGAGAACACATTACATAAATCAGTACAACAAACCTCTTATATATTTGTTCTGTTAAGAGTGGTGCATGTCTTTGTGTGGTGTGGTTTTTTTTCCTTGTTTGTTTCCTAAATAGATTCTCTTTTCCCCATTGCTAAGAAACTGTATTGTGCAAACTGGATAAAAGTTTATCCACAGAACAGTTATATGCTTTATCCAATAACAATGCATGTATTTTTTTTTTAATGGCTAAGCAGTAATATAGCTATTAAGGTGGTTAAGTTTAAACACATGCAGCATTCCTGACTTTTTCAGTTTATTGGGTTCTATTATATACAGCTTACTTTAATATATACAGTTAGGTCCGTATTTATTTGGACACATGCACAATTTTCATACTTTCGGCTCTGTATGCCACCAGAATAAATTAAAATGAAACAATCCAAATAAATTTGAAGTGCAGACTTTCAGCTTTAATTCAAGGAGTTGAACATAAATATCAAGTACAAATTTTAGGAACTGCAACCATTTTTATACACAGTCCCTCCATTTTCAGGGGCTCAAATGGAATTGGACAATGAATATAATCATAAATAAAATGTTCATTTTTAATATTTTGTTGAGAATCCTTTACTGGCAATGACTGCCTGAAGTCTGGAAACCATGGACATTACCAAAGACTGGGTTTCCTCCTTTCTCATGCTTTGCCAGGCTCGAACTGCAGCTGTCTTCAGTTGTTCTTTGTTTGTGGTTCTTTCTGCCTTTAGCTTTGCCTTCAGCAAGTGAAATGCATGCTCAATTGGGTTGAGATCAGGTGATTGACTTGACCATTTCAAAATATTCCACTTCTTTTCCTTCAAAAGCTCCGGGGTTGCTTTTGCAGTGTGTTTTGGATCATTGTCCATCTGTACTGTGAAGTGCCGTCTAAACAACTTTGCTGCATTTGGCTGAATCTGGGCTGACAGTATATCTCTAAACACTGCAGAATTCATCCCGCTGCTTCTGTCTTCTGTCACATCATCAATAAACACCAATGACCCAGTATCACTGAAAGCCATCCATGCCCATGCCATCACACTTCCTCCACCATGTTTTACAGATGTTGTGTGCTTTGGATCATGAGCTGTCCAAGCCTTCTCCACATTTTTTTCTTCCCATCATTCTGGTACCGATTAATCTTAGTTTCATCCGTCCAAAGAATGCTTTTCCAAAACTGGTCTGGCTTTTTTAGATTTTTTTTCGGCAAAGTCTAATCTGGCTTTTCTATTCTTCAGGCTTATGAATGGTTTGCACCTTGTGGTGGACCCTCGGTATTTGCTTTCGTGAAGTCTTCTCTTGATTGTAGACTTTGACAATGATATGCCCACCTCCTGGACAGTGTCCTTAACTTGTCTGGATGTTGTGAATGGGTTTTTCTTTAGAAAGGATCCTGCGATCCTACACCACTGTTGTCTTCTGTGAACATCCATGCTTTATGTTGCTGAGCTCACCAGTGTGTTCTTCTTTCCTCAGAATGTACAAAACTATTGATTTGGCCACTCCTAATGTTGCGGCTATCTCTCTGATGGATTTGTTTAGTATTTGAAGCCTTACAATGGCTTGTTTCACTTGCATCGACAGCTCCTTTGAACACATGATGTAGGTTCACAGCAATAGATTCCAAATGCAAATACCAAACTTAGACTCAACTCTAGACCTTTTACCTGCTTAATTCGTGAAGAAATAACAAAGGAGTAGCCCACACCTGGCCATGAAACAGCTTTTAATTTAATTCCAATTACTTTTGGTCCCTTGAAAAAGGGGGATGGCTATTTTTAAGAGCTGTAATTCCTAAACCCTTTCTCCAATTTGGATGTACATACCCTCAAATTAAACCTGAGAGTGTGCACTTTCAGCCCATATCCATTCTATAACTATAGCTTGAATATGTTTTGGTAAATACTAGTTCCATTCATGTCTATTGGGCCATAATGGTTTCACAGACACAGCTGTTGGCTCTAGTTTAACAGCCATGCTGGAGCGTGTCCATGAATGAATACTGTGTTCAGGGACACCCACACACACACAGTTGTGTTTTGCTTTGGTGTCTAGTTAAGGTTACTTTGTGTTTAAAAGCTAAGAAGCATAGACCTCTGTGGTATATTAATGTGCTTTTACTAAACAAAATTCATTGAAACAATTACAAATTTAGGAATAAAATACAAAACTGGCAGATATACATAAAACACACAAAATGCTACCTACTTCCTAGCAAAATTATGTTCTGTGATTACAATAGTAAAAGTTACTTCTAGAGGCTTCACACTCTCCATAGGCAACTTAGACCCCAGGCTTGCTCTAAAACTGTTGCAGGAGATTGGGCTAAAAGCGTCTTCAGGTTCTGGCAGATCTTCCTTGGTGTTTGCGTCATCATAGAGTCCTCCGATGTTCAGTCATCATAGAGTCCTGCTTTTCAGCCTTTGTTGTTGGCTTTTATTTGGAAATTTTTACCATCCACATAGGGTGTTTTCTCCTTTCAGAATACTCTGTTTCAATGGGAGAATCCTTCCCCAATTTGACCTCCTAGATGGAACTGTTGTATCATACATGCCATAGGTCATGTGTGTCAGAAGGTCAAGCTATTAACCTTTGATTAACTTGACTTGTTGATTTCAGTTACATAATTTAAACGTGGAATAGAAGAGCCCAACATACAACAATGGTATCTAAGTTCACATTGATGTAGAAGACAGCTTGTATAATTGTTACCAAGGCATTTTTTGAGAAGTCCACTTAAACATTCAAAAGTAACCTGACTTCTGTTTCTATGACAAACAAACAGATCCTTTCATGTCTGAGAAACAAATCATAATAAATCAAAATAAACAAAAAACAAATCAAACAAAACAGACATATTTTTTATATATCAGATGCAACACAGGCTGCCAAATTGGGACCGGGGCAGTAGCTGCTGCATCCTAATAGACATGAATGAGACTACCTGTATGCAGATACTCAGAACACCTGTTCATCCCATGCAAAACTGGCCCTTTGCATGGCTGGCCAAATAGTTACATCCAATATGAATGAGGCCTAAAACAGAGCATTGCAATGCATGTAATTTGCATTGTGGTTTGCTGTAACAAGTCTTTTAGCACCTTCTACAGTTGTGTGTTAGGGTGCCATTCTATATAAATGGCACTGGACAAAGTGCCATGTGTTACTCTGTGTCAAAACAATAAACACACATTACCATAGTACATAGGTCCAAGGAGGCCTTTTGCTTGGTTTTGGGTTAGTTTTGTGGTGTGTGGGGTTTTTTTTTTTTTTTTTTTTTTTTTTTTTTTAAGTTCACGAGTTTTAAACTGTTTGTATTTTTATTTTTACTACCTGAATACAATCTATGACAAACAATTTCTAGAACACCATGGCTTAAGTTAATGAGATAGCACCACAGAAGCAACTTGCCTTGAGACACACTGGGGTAGATTTACTAAAACTGGTGCAGCTGTGTATGGTAGCCAATCAGCTTCTAACTTCAGCTTGTTCAATTAAGCTTTGACAATAAAGCCTGAAAGCTGCTTGGTTTCTATGCAGAGCTGCACCAGATTTTGCACTCTCCAGTTTTCGTAAATAACCCCAACTTTGTCTGATTGAAACTTTGGATAGAGGAATGTGTCCCATTTTCTGTTGACTCATCCACTAACCACTTATGTGTGTACATTTTCAGCTTGAGCTTTTGGGTTCTCTAAAAAAAAAAAAAAAAAAAAAAAAAAAAAATGTTTTCATGAAGGAAATAAACCAAGAGCCTTTGTGAAAAGGAGCCTGTTGCTCCACATGCCAGTCAGTAGTTCATATTTACCTGCTTTACATTACATTTTTGGTCCCTTTTTTATGGTATATAAAATTATATACAGCAATACTATTTCTGTCTGTCATTCTACCCTACATAGTTCAACATGGAAGGAGTGTAACTTGATTAAGGTGGTGTTAGTATGTTATAAGACATTGTTTATCAATGTGTATTTACCAAATTTTCAAGAGCTTGTTTTTTTTTTCCTTTGTTTTCAATTTCAAGTGTGAAAATGGAAGAAGTCGACTATGCTATAGCAATCAAATTTTTGATGAATAAAACCTTATATGTAGATAGGAAATATTTGTTTCCGGTTTCACACTCTACTTCACACATGTATACTGCATACTTTGACTGCTTGATAAAGAGATAACCTAGACCAGCGGTTCACATTCTGGGGACACCTCAGCATGTACAAGTGGGCAACTCAGATGCTGCATCCAGTATTGCTGATTGTTTGATTTTAGCAGTCTGTAAAGCCTATCCCCAAAGCCCACACTCCCACACCCAGGATTGTAGACTTACTGTGTAACTTGCAGTTAGAGAAAGCTTTCTTGCTAGAGAAACAGTTTAAAATCCTATCATGATTTTCTGAGCAGTTAATTAGCAGGATTCCTTGCATGGAGCACGGACTGTGGAGGTAGTTTTAGTGAACTGATAGAGAAGCATAAAAACATTTTCTAGTTTACAATCCATTAATATAAATGTGTGTAGTAAGGCGCATAGGCTCAGTAAGAGTTGGCAGTGGTAAACTGTGCATGGGACTCCTAAGATCTGTTTGTTCTGCACTTTATTCAGTCAGGCAGCTGGCAAACAGTTTAAATGAAGGATGGGTTTTTTACAGTAAGTCCATAGCATAAATAAAACAAAACATCTGCTTATCCAAGCTACTAACTAAACTCCGCTCAGTTCCTGACTACCAGGGGGCCCTCAACAGGTTCCTGACACAGGCAACACTTGTTCCTTTTTCAGTGTTTTGTTTGCACTCAGCCTTTTCACCTTGCATCAGGGTTCCACAGCAGATAGAGGGAGAGATACCTGAGCATCAGTCAGTGTACATATATAAAGGCTTCTGCAAATCTGAGACAAATAAATTTCGGCTACCTGGTAAGATGTGGATCCGCAAATGAGGGTTTCGGTATTCCACCCAAAGCTCTACAAAATCTCCAGGCATAAGATTTAGAGAAT